AGGCGCAGAATCGAAAAAAGAACCGGAAAAGGAGCCAGCTGGTGAGTCAAATGAAGATCACCAATCGAAGGGAATATTTCTCAAATGAGATCGTTTCTGACATTGATGTCTGTGACATTAAACGACCACTTTTCAGATAGTGCGAAAGCTGATGATGTGGCAAAATACGTGGAGGATGAGGACTATTATCATGGGCTTTTACCGAGAGAGGATATCGCATGCATTCTTGAAAAGGTTATTCATAATCGCCATTAGCATCTTAGCAAAATGCCGCTATTTCCACGTAATTTTAGCAGTTCTAGTGTCGGTTCAACAAAATGCTTGTCTACAAACGTTATTTCTCGTCAAACGTTTAACATAATTGATCGGATAACAAAATCGTTTAATTTCCTATGAATGGTTTATGCAATTCAGGTTGGTGATTTCATAATCCGAGCAACACAACCGAGGCCGACTGATCCACGAGAAATTGTCGTTTCAGTAAGAGTCAAACCTAACGAAGATGATCCGGTTACGGTATGACGATTATTCAATACTTCGTTGAATACCGTTTTACAATGTCAGCAGTATAGCATCGTCGTTATTGTTGTATCATAATCAGCCATGAATATAAGTTCATTTGTTCATTTCCTACATTGAGTAGACTATCAAGTGCTTTAAACGGGATTGGATGCGACGCGCTATGATTCGACATTTGTTTCCATTAGATTCCATTGATGCCATCAGATTGTTGCATTCGATTTTATAAGACTCTTTGTGAACTGAAGATTCGACATATTGTAATAAGAAGACGTATGAAAGAAGACGGTTCGCTGGAATGGCGTGCGATTGAAGATGAGTGTTATTCATCAGTGCGAGAACTTATCGATAATTATATGGCATCAGGACGGCCACTTAATCCTGAGGTTCATTTCAGTATTTCACTATTCATTCAATCTGGCCATCGCAAAGTCAACTCAATTGCTGAGACCATCGCAAAACTTGAGAAAGACCTTCGCACTTGAACATTCATAATGAATGAGTTGTTCTCATTCGATTCGTTACTTCCTTCATAAACCTCTACGACCAATGAATGAATGATCAATCAGGATGAGTGTTTCAGGTCAAATCATCTGTATTAATTCGTTCAATTAAAAGGAAACCATGGGAATTTTTGCATGAAGATATAAAATTAAATGATTTACTTGGTGAAGGGCAATATGGTGAGGTTCGTGCAGGTGAAGCGCTTGTGAATGGTAGAAAATTATCGGTGGCTGTTAAAGTTGTATGTTTCATTCGAATGTCAAAACAAGATTGCGATTTCATTCAAACCATCGTCCCCTCCATTATTCTCATTCAATAGTTGCGATAGATTGCAAAAAGCAATTATTCATTCTAATGTCTATATATCTTTAAATGAAACTGAAATGTCCAATTGCAAAACTGATTCACTGAACTGTGAATACGTTTGTGTGAAAGTCACATAATCAATTTGCTTCTTGAACGTTCATCTTAAGCAGACATAAATCGGCGGTCAATCATATTGCGATGATACTGAAGAAAATTGAGTTCAGAAATTGAATAAAGTACAAATCATTTCGGTGGTTTGAAGGCAAAAGTAGTGAAAGAAGAATCACAATTGGCGAAAGCAAAAGAGAAAATCAAAGAGATGATGCATGAAGCACGTT